AGGCCGGGGGGTCCCCCGCTGCCTCCCCGCGCCGTGGCTGGCACAGGGAGACAGCCTGCTCGGCGAGGTGCCCACCTGCTGCCAGGGGGCTGCTGGCACCCCAGAGCCGTGGGGAGGTCGCAGAGCAGCCGTGGAGCAGAGGCTTTGGCCACCTCTGCCGGCCCGCGGCAGGCTGGCGCTGTGTTGGGTGATGGCATTGCCACAGCATCTGCCTTGCCTGGCCCGCCTGCCTCTGAGCCCACACAGGGGCCTGTTGAGGGGCTACAAGCACTGAGCATGGACCACCAGGTCTCCCCTGCACGGCAGGGCTGCCAAACACCCGAGCTTCGCTGCAGCGTGCCAATAGGTACAAGGGCAACGGGCCTGGGACACGATGGATGTATCCACCCACCCCGCCCCTCCAAACCCGGGGACAACACGCAGCGGTTTGCGCTGCACAAAGCACTGGACGCAGGGCACACGGCTCCTGTACCCCAGTGCCCTGGTGCCTGTCAGATTCTGGACTTCCCTGCTGCCACCTCAGCATCACCCGCAGCTCCATCACGCCCAGGGACGCCGTCCTTCCCCTAGAGCACGGGGGCTCGAGCTGAGGGCAGAAGCTAAACTCACTCTGTCAGGGCGAGCCAGCGCTGAGCACAGCTCTGAGGGATTTGGCAGTGATTGCTCTCGTTCCCCAGCTAATTGCAGAGGAGAGGTCTGCTCAGAGAAGATTTGAGACTACCTAAGCTGTACCTCTGGATCAGACCCCCTGGAAGGAGCCTCCCTCCTTCTGAGTATCACTGTCCATTCATTCCTCACCCAGCCCAGCCTCCTGCAGCTCCCTCCTCATTCATTTCTCCCTCCTTTTCCCTCTTTGTCATTAACTTTTCTCCTTCCAACCCACATCCCATCTCAGACTCACACACACACACACACACACACACACACACTCCTCCACCCTTGCTGCATCCCTCTGAATTTATCCCCTCTTGCTCCTCCAGGCTTTATCCCTGTGACTGGACCCACAGGTCAGGCACTAGGTGCCCATTTTCCAGGTACCCGAGAGAACTCTGCGCTCTGCTCCCGGACCCACGTTGGGGTTGGCAGCACGAGCGCTGCGCCCACACTGTGGGCATGGCTTGGCATCCCCCTAAATAGGATCAGGGCAGCATCCATCCCCCGATAGGAACGTGAGCACTTAACCAGGCACTGCCTGCTGTAGCTGACTCCAGCGAGAGACGAGAGGAGGGAAAGGAGGGAGGAAAGTTCATAGGAATCAGAGCAACCCCCATTTCCAGCCCAAGTCCACAGTCTCAGCTACGTGGTGAGCTCCAGCCCAATCCTTCCTCAAGTGCTCTTTACCTGCGTGCACAGATTCCAGGTTCACCATCCTGCTGGTGGAGGGAAATCCGCGGTGCGCCCAGCCTCCTGCCGTCAGCCCCAGGTTACCAGGGGCTGCCAGTTTGTCCTCCCTCCTCTGCCACCCGCTGCCTCTCGAACCGGGCGTGGGTCCGCTCCCGAAGGGACCTAGAGCTCCATTGCCTGTTGCCATGCAGGGCCAGGTGAGCATGCGGCGCCACGCCACGCCTCGCCCCACCTCCGGCTCCCTCGGGTGCCCTGACACCCAGCAGCCTGGCGCCCGGCCCATGCAAAAGCATCCATTTGCATATTAGTAACTCGGGGATGGATGAGTCCCTGCAGCACTACCAGGGCGTGGGGTGGGGTGGGAAGGAGGGAGGAAGGAAGGCGGTTTGCCCGCCCTCAGCTGCACAGATACACCCCGCAGCACCTGCCTGCTGGGCTGCGAGCGAGGGGCTTTGAGGGGGCTCCGCCACCAGCCCCAGACCCGAGTTGTTCCATGGTGGGAAGGCTTTTGGCTCTGCCCCTTGCAATGCACGGGGAGGAGAGGCCGAGGCATAGAGCCAGGCTGGGCAGTGGCCACCAGCACCCAGAAGGGAAGGTGTTTGAGCTGAGGGAACAGCCCCTCCAGCCCTTTCGGGTTCATTTCTGGCCTCTGATAAGTCCTGGGGTCTGCTCGGAGGGAGCCATGAGAGCAGCCTGTGCCGTTGAGTCTTGGCATCCCCCAGGTCTGGGCTGAACCCGAGCGATGCTGTACGACACAATCAGCACAGACAGGAAAGTTAAGAGCAGAAAGGTAACCTGGTCTGGCTAAAGACACAGCGTTGGCAGCACATGGAGACTCCCCTTCCCTGACTTGTGGTACATCAATCCCCCAAGAAGCGTGGAGAAGGGGCAGACAGCCTCTTCCTCCTCCACGTTAAGGCTGCAGCATGTAACCGACTTCCAGGGAAGCCATGGGGGGAAAAAATAAAAAATCCCCTAACGTTGACTTGTTCTGTAGGAAGCTGCCAGAGGCCGGCTCCTCAGCCGACACTCTGTGCCATGACAGGGACCAACAGTCGCCCCGATGGACCCTGGCACTGCGGCTGGTCCCTGTCCCTGCCGTGCGCTGCCTGATGCCCCCCACCACGGCCCAGGGTAGCAGGACGCCTGCGTTCAACTCCTGAGCTCCAGCCCTGCTCAACCCCCTCCTGAAAGCGTTAACACGCTCCATTGGTAGCTGCCAGGTACAAGCTATCACACATTCATCTCTCCCTGGCTAATTCACGTTCCAGGGCTCTCGGCTTTCCCACATACTGCTCTCCCTCCCTGGAAAGACAGGTTTCTCTGAAGAGATGGGTGGGCGGGCGAGCAGGCTCTGGAGCCTCACCTCCAACCCAGTCCGAGTTATGAGGCTGGAGTGGTTGGTTGCCCTCGGCTTGCGTGGCCAGAGAGGACATCCTCGGGAGAGGGCAACACGCTGGCAGGAAAGGGTGGATGTCTTAAACGAAACTCTAACAGGGAAAAAGCGGAGGAAAGCAGGGAGGAGAAATGGAAGAGGGAAAGCGGGGAGGAGGGGAAGTTCCTGAGTCATGCTAAGGTTTGCGGGACGGGGCGCAAGGGGAGAGCTCTGCGGGCTGCCTTCAGCGCTGCTCCAGGAAGCAGAAAGGTGCCGGGGGGTGGTTTGCACTGGCAGCTTGCTTGAAGCTGCTGGAGGGACTGGCCTCCTGCCACCGATCCCCAGCCCGTGGCAGAGCCCCAGCCATTCAGGCCCTGATCCTCGGGGCGTTCCTGGGCAGCTGCTGGTCTGTTTTCTAGTGTTTTCTGCATGACCCGTCTGGGTCATCTTTTCTGCATGCACGTCTGGGTTTTCCCCATCTTGAAGACTGACGTGATCAGGTGTCCTCACTGCGTCAAACGTGGATTTGCTGGTGGCTTCCAGCCAGTTGGAAGGCTCTGGAAAGGCTGGGGACCCCGAGAGCTCTCCTTACCCCCATCAGAGCACCTTTTGTCCCCCCCAGTCGGGAGTTTCACTTGACACCCATCTTTGCCCTCTGCTTGCCGGTGCTGAGCCGAGCAGCCTGTCCCGGAGGCCCAGGGAGGCAGGTCCCCGCGGGTGGCACCTCCACCCCGGCGGACAGGGATCCCGGGCATCCGGACGGGGATCCGGGGCATCCTCGGGCGGGGATGCTGGCCCGGCCACGGGCAGGCCCGCAGTGCCCTCTCCTGGCCCTGCCCGCGCCGCTGGGATCTGCTTTTTTTCCCCCACTGTTATTTTGTGGTGAACAGAACAGCAGGGAAAATATTAATATCGAGGCACTTTTCCCCCTAGACACAGTGCTGTGC